GCAATTGGCGTCAGCGAAAGAATCCTGGGAACAAAACCGCGTACACATTCTAGATTTTCTGAATGAAAGAATGCGACAGGAACGCGCGAGTCAGCAAACGTTTGTAAACATGGACAAAGCGTTATGAGCTTATAGCGAATTGACTGGTAAAAATATAATGTCGTTACCACCAGAGCCTAAATTGTCTGATTTCTACGCCCCTTCCGAGGATCAAAAAGTTCGTGAGTTTGTGTGGATTTTAGGGTGCACGGTCTTAGTCGGTTTCTAAGCTTATCGATTTGCGTAACTTTATTTTAAAATGGAAGAAACTTTTAAAAACTGTGTTTTAGCCCACAGGGTTATTGGAAGTGAGAAAGCGCCGTAGATCATCTACACGAAAAGACCAGTGCGGACAAATCAGTTATTAAGAACTGGCTAAAAAAGCAGGCTATTTGGCAAATATATTTATCCGCACCTGCATACTTACCGAGACCAATTACTTTGCAATCAGAGTCGGTCGAACCTAATTACGCGCATCAAATAGATATATTATATTTACCCTGGGATCGTGTTGAAAGAAAAACGTTTAAATACGCTTTGACTGTAGTAGACGTCGGTTCGTATTATAAAGAAGCAGAACCATTGACCAGTAAAACTGCCGAGCAAACGTCTGAAGCCGTGAAACAAATTTATAAAAGATTGCCCTTGACTTGGCCTAAAATTATAATGGTAGACTCGGGATCTGAATTTAGAGGCAAGTTTAAAAAGTTAATGACTAATCATGGGGTAGAAATTCAAGTGGGGGAGCTGGGTATTCATAGGTCGCAGGGGATCGTGGAAAGGTTTAACCGTACTTTAGCTGAAAGGTTATTTGGTCATCAATATGCTCAAGAAATGTTAAACGTGGGTGAGCGAAACGTGGAATGGGTAGAACGTTTGGCCCAGGTCCTGAAATCGTTAAACGAGGAAAAAACATGTTTAATTGATGCTGTTCCTGTCGAAGCTATCAAATTAGACCGAGTGAAGCAAACACCTATTGCACCTCAAAAAGCGAGCCAAAGAGAATTTCCTCCAGATGCGGTCGTTCGGTATTTATATTAACCGGGCGAGCAAGAGAGCGGCACCGTCAAAAGGGCAACAGATTCGGTCTGGTCAGTGGACATTTATCACGAAGTGCACCAGTCAATTTAAACGAGTCAATGGCAGGAGGGTAAAGACGGGTCCCACTTTATATTATTTATTATACGGGCCAAATAGGAGTTTCGTCAAAGAAGAACTGCAAGTCTTACCCGAGGATACCAAATTACGGCCCGAGTCTTAACTGTGCAAAAACTGAATTAAGGGCTTTCTCTTTGTCTTTAAAATTTGAGTTGTTCACCCAGTGATAGATAAACGATTCGCGTTGTTCTTTTGTTTTCAGCTTGACAGATTGCTTAGCTCGATCGAGATCAGTTGTTTTAAATCCTCTAATCCTCAATTTATAGTGCCCATAAGCTAACGTATCAACCCCGTCTGGTAATATATAGCAGTTTGTGTCTAAAGGTGGCAGACTCAACTTATTTTACGACACCGTGAATACCTGAATAGAACCGAAAGTATGATCACTTCCGTCAATAAGCTGACCTCAGTTGAGCTACAGAATAGACTTTTTTCCGGTAGGTTTCCTGGTATAAAACTAAATCCACAATCGCAAGGATAACGGGGCTTATAAACATGAGCTTACAATCAAATCTAATGGAGATCTTTAATATACTTTGTGTTATTTACTCTTGAGTCGTTGCTATCACTGTCAAATCCTAGTAACGATTGCAATGCTGTTTTATCCCAAGTTACATTGACATTGTTAATCTTTAAAATAGCTTTTTCGACTTTATATCTAATGCTGGTGCCGCAAGACAAAGATCCATGTGTGCCGTAATAGACATCTTTGGGACAAATAAACCAATATATTATTATAAGTCGATCTTGCGATATTAGATTTTTACAATGGTCAAACAACGTGGTCGTGATATGTAACTTGACATACATGCATTTTTTTGTGTAAGGCGGTTTAACCACAAATTCAACCTTTTCTAAGTCATCTATTTCACATCTGGCTATGTAAGCGTTGATCGTATTTGGTGGAATTTTGAGACTTTTTAGTCATGAGCGTGCTGATGTATTTGTAAGCTGCAACATTTATGTGGTTGAGTATATCCATCGTAGGCTCTTGAAAATGATAGCAGATTTGATGTCCAATGATATTTGGGGGATTTTTTCTTTAGCTCCAAATTTATAGACTGGATTTACCCCATAGCAGATTGTTTTGGTATCATGATCAACAGGCACTTTTCTTTGTTGTCATGGTTCTAAAAAATGGATCAATAATGTTGTATTTGTTTTTCACCCTTTTTTACCGTGGATTCTGCTATCACGAGTCAGATTCAAAGTCGAGATCAGGCTCAGCTTTTTTCCTAAATCTCATGCTTTTATAGCAACCATATTCACTGTTACTGTCGTATATAAATACTACAAATGATTTATCATATCAATTTTTGCAGTTGATGCAATATTTGCAATTAACACATTCTTCGCAATTGATAAATTCTTTGCAATCAACACATCCATCACAACTACAACATCTGTCACATCTTAAACAGATTTTGCAATCACTGCAGTGCTTGCAATCGGTGCAGTAATAGCCATCGATGCAATTGACCTAAATCGGTAGATTTGTTACAATGTCTGCAGTTAATGCAACCATGACATTTGTTGCATATGTGTATGTTTTTAAAATTTATTACAATATTTAGAAACCTTACAATTTTTGTAATGGTTGCATTTATTACATACAACACATCTGTCGATATGATTGCAGTATTGGCAATAAATGGCATCAACGGCATCTGTCACATTCTGTGATTCAATTTTTTTTTTACAAAAGTAACAAAACACTGCTTATGATTGACGTCGGTTTTAGAGTTTTGCTTTTGGTCTGGCGTTTTCGGTTTTTGGTTTGGTGACTTTGATATAAGGTTTGATGATATTTTTTAGTTTTTTTTAACCACCAAAATCAAAGGTTGACGTTGTGGAGTTTCGTGAGAGATACTATCGGGTCATTGGGGGCGTTGGGGGTTCGGTAAAAAAGTTTACTTTTAGGGTCAGGTAGGTACCCAGGGGAAAATGAAAAGGTGATGTGGAACTCTCCCTCCACACTACTTGCACAAAAATGTCGGAACAGTCCATCTGAGTCAACCCCCCCCCCGGAAATCACCCCACATTCTGACACACAAATCTACATCACTCCCCAGGTGGATCACAATTTCACCCGGGCGAAATACATGTAGTAATCCGCCCGGGCGAAATACTAATCCACTCAGGTGAAATCGTAATCTGCCCAGGCGAAATACTTATCCACCCGGGTGAAATATCACACCTAATTCTTTTTTCAGTCATGTCCTATATACACTCCTGTAAATTCGTGTTAATATAGTGAAATACTAAATTCTAAAAGGCCCGGGACAGTAACACAACATTTGAGCATGAGTGTGGATGTCAAACAGCTATGTATACATGTATAAGGTTACATGTGACCAAATGAGCTGCCTATCATGGCATATTTCCATGTTTCCTTGACCTTCCTCATGTAGTCAGGTAGTGTTGCAAAACATCTTTATTCTTTGCGGTACATTTTTAAAAGGGTTTATTTTGAACCTTTATAGAAGAAAAGAAAAGACCAAATAGATTTTAAATTGAAACTAGGCCTATATGGCAGCTCGCAGGCACACGAATAGTACTTAACTCATCAACATGCATGACATGCTTAAGATTTATAAAACAGAAATATTTAGAACTTTGGGTTGTGAAATGTTTCACACAAAATTTTTGCGGTCAAGATGACGTCACTGATTCTTGATTCTTCTCTCCGATTGGTAAATTGGTGGCTATTCCATCTTTCACACTCAACTCAAAGGGGCAAAAATAGTGTTGCCGTCTATTGGGAAAATCGAGTTATTGACTGAACTCTTAACCATTACATCAGATGTGCCTGAAATGTCACTATTTATGCACTAGTGTGAAAAGATGATGGTATTTTCCCATTCAGTGACACTTTGTCACTGGTGACTTGCAATAACTCCTGGTTGAAGTATGTAAAAAATCTGGCCTTTTCATGTCCGAGAAATGGAGTATGAGAGGATGTAAGAACATGACCGATTGTTCAGTTTATTTGTCAGTTGACTGGTGGTGCGAGTAGAGAACTGTTTTTCAAGTCTCAAAATACTTTATTGTCATTTGCCGCTAATGTCAGCAACACAGATCGAGGAGTTTAGACCAATATGCTTTGTAACGCGCAATTTAAAGCCACAATGGTTGGATGGAATCTAAGATGATTTTTTCCTCATAACCATTGGAATGCTGAAAGCCCTATGCTCTGTTCTCGAACAGACACAGACTTCTAGTTTTATGATTGGTGCTGTTGGTATGTATTCATCTTTCATTTGATTGGTATAGGAAGGTGGTACTGAGGCTTCCTGATCCTTGATTTGTGCAATTAAAGGTCTAAACCTTGAAAAATCATGGAACGTTAAACCTCTGTGCTTAAACACCCTTGTGTCAGGATGCGTAAATATGATCTGGCTATCTGTGTGCATTGGCACATCAGCTGGGGTAAAATATCAAGTACACCTTGACTTAACTCTGGCTCATGTTTAATCACTGTATGTTGAACTTGGTCACTGTGCATGGCCTGTTGTGGTAGTCAATACCACTTTGCAGGTACATCCTTGAATGTTGAACAAATGGGAGGTTGCAGTAAAAAATACTGTAAAAAAGTTTTTAAAGGACACTATTTGGGGCATTAGGTTCTTTATCTAAAGTGGGCTGCTGTATCTTGCCTTTTTAAAAACTTATCAGGTAAGGAAGGTAATTCTATTCTATAATTTGATGTTTCAAAATGCTTCATAATTGTCTCTAAGTGTGGAAGATCCAATTAAATTCCATTTTGCATCAACTGACTTTGGTCACCTTTATGTACATTTCAGGGTATGAGTAAATTGAAGTGCCTGGACATTAGCTGGAATGAGCTGACAAACATGAAAGATGACTTGTCAATTTTAAGGAAACATGCAACAGGTTTAACCTGCCTCGACCTGAGATATAACAAATGGCAAAAGGTACGTACCTTAATAACAAGACTCACTTGATGAAAGGAATTTTTAAGCATTACCATGATAAATCTGCAAAAATTCCAGCAGTCTAATGGAACACATTCCTTCTTTTTGTAATAAGCTAAAAAGAATTAACTTGCATTATTATTAAAGCAATTTGCGTTGACTGCCCTGCAGTTCTGGTTTATTGTTTTTGCTTTTTTATGTGAGCTTGGGTAATGTTATGGACAAAGACATGAAAAATTTGTTTCTGCATTGTTTATTTCTCACTTTTCTTTAGCTTCAACTTTTCATTTATGTATCACTTGAAGAATTAGTATGAAAAGAACATCAGTGTTGAAAAAAGGTGGTCCTGTTTAATGTGGTGCTTATTTTTTAGATAGTTTAAAAAGTTCAAATTATTGAAGGCATCATTTTTGAGCAGTGAATGTTCATTGATTTCCTCTCTTCCTGTAAAAAAAATCACAATATTCCTTCAACCAGGGTTTCTACAAGAATGTGAAACCCATAAAGATGAAGTTAGCACTGAACTAAAGGCCATTCTGATGATAAATAGCTTGCAACATTTCTTAAAGCCGGATTCGCAAATTTAATGAACTGACCACCCCACGTCTTGAGATACTCTTGGTACGGGGCTCCCATTTGTGAAGTAGGCTGTTCGCCTTAGCGGACCGCTCCCCTTTGTAAGACCAGAGTGGCCCCAGACAACGTCTCCTTGTCGCCTTCCCTTTATCTAGAGCCTTCAAGCAAAACGTCTTGGAGACAATTACTCTGTTAAACACAGTTTGACACTGTTGAACACTAATTTATATAACAGGTTTTGCCCTTGCATCTTGAAAATACTGTTGAACACTGTTATAACAGGGTCCTTGGAACTTTACAAATTCCTTTTGTTATCAGTTATGGAAAATAAATGAAAAAAAACCCAGAATTTTTTGTCATAAATATGACCTTGTATTATAAATTATAAGTATTTAAAATGCTCGTCCTGTCTGTCTTCGATTGTACATGTATTGTGAGAGTCTTTCGGGTGCCCTCCTCAATGAACATGAGCCACTGCCCCATTTCCAGGTGGCCGTTACATGCAAATGCATCCTACATGTAGTTACCCTCCGACATATCTATGGCGTGGCCATCCAGATGTAATCCCCACGGTAGCACTTTCCGGGCCAACTTCCCGGATCGTTGCCCCAGTGAATACGCCATCGGACGCGGACCCAATCCCGAGTCTCCGTCACAGTCTTCTGGAGCTACTCTGGCTACCATCCAGTCTGCATCCCCAGACATCTGAACCTAACGTCCTTCAAGCCATTGAGATTTTTACACACACAATCCAGGGTGTCCCCAAGGGGCCCTGCGGGAGAAATTTTGTGAATCTATTCCCACTGCATCTCATGACGTACAATCCTGTGATCAGCAGAATGACCATTTTGTGGCCGCCAGTTGGGTGGCCCCACATGAGCACAGATTCTGCCGTGCGGCCCTGCCATAATGCAACTGTCCAAATGTGTGTTAACTTCAAAGTGGGGGTGTCCAATCTGTTTACTGTCACTTTTGCGAGGTCTATCAAAAGTAGGCCAGCTGGGAGTCACCTATTTTGTTGCGATAATTTTGCAGGCTTTCTCTTCCGATATTTAGTAACGCTCAGCAGCGTGATCGAAATGAAGAGAGAGAATTCTGTCAGACCCTATTCTTTTTTTTGAAAGAAATACATGTACAGTGGAACGCCACTATCACAAACACCACGGGGACCACGCTAAATGTTTGGTACAGCGTTTGTTCAGTATAGCAAAATTAACAGCCAAACATTTCGTTACCAGGTTGAATAGCTCCCTCTCTTGTCTAACTGAAGTGCACCCTCTTGTGGCACTATGATTTGCTGAATTCACGTTTGAGGTTTCTAGAAATGTTTCCATTAATTATTTTTGTTTTTTATTAAATCTTGACTTCCAAAAATGATATTTAGTTTATCCTAAAAGTTGTGAAGCTACTGCTCAGGATTGATCTCAAATGCATGCTGTGGTGAATCTTGGTTGATTTGCAACTGCAAACATAATGCGACCTCACTCCCCTATGCCGACCATTTATTTTTCACTCATGTGTGAAAATGATCGAAGTTTTACATTGCAGTCGGGACGCCGGTGGCCAGGCTGGGTATGGAACACGGCTTACCTTCAATTTGACATAAACATCCTCGACAAACTTCTGCATATTCAGGTGTTATACACTGCTGCTAAAGACAACTTATGCCTTTGACTAAGCAAGCCTTTTGTTAAGAACTCCTTGCTTGATAAAGACTGACACCAACGTTATCTAGGTTACATGAAATCTTTGTCTCGGTCTCTGACCTATTTCATTTCTTCCCCTCTTATCGAGGTAAATTCCTTTGATGGGAAAAGAGAGTTCTCCTTTCCGCCCAGACTTCACCACAGTCATGCTAGAGACTCTGAATGATAATTACATCTCCATCTTTGAGTATGCCTTGCAGCTTTCTTGCGCCTTGTTAAAAATTTTTTTCACACTGCCAACCAAAGCCACATTAATGGAAAGGTCAAGCGATCATGCAGTTGACCTGCAGACGATCCATGTGGCAGGGTCCAATGACGAAGTGGCAGACGCACTCTCCCTGGGATGATAGAGCAGCCTTACAACAATCTCTTCGCTTCCTTGAACAACGATCAACTTCCCGAGATCTTCCTCTTCAGCGAGACTTTCTAGCAATGCTACAGCCATGGCCGCATGGGACATCATTTGCCCACCTTTCACATTCGTGGCAGCAGATTTTAGCATTGTGTTGTGTGCGTCGATAGTCAGGCTTTGGCTCCAGCCAACGCTCATGTGGGTGCTAGAACAGACTTCCTGATGAACTTCTTTCACTCGGAGCTACAAGTATCTACAGGTCGGCCCTAGCTGCCATACACGTTGGTTTCAAAATTGGTTAAATGCCCTTGTTAATTGGAATGGCATTCCATCACCTTTTGTATGATATGCTTATCCAGTGACCTCTTGTTGGGAAATTGGTCTGGTCATAAGACCTAAGCTAGATTCTCGAGATGTTTTCTGGTCCTTCCTTTGGACCCTAAATAATGCCTGCCTTACACACACCATGTCAGGTTGGCCTTTCTCCTGAAAATGGTTCAGTCCTGAGGAGGCAGCAAACTATAGGCTCTCCCCATTGCCGAAGGCCGTCTATGTTGGGAGCCACATGGTGTTCACCTCATTCCTTCGATCGGCTTCCTAACGAAGGATCAGACTCCCTCACCTGGTCCATCCAATATCTTTACACTCTCCACCTCCTTACATCCTGGAGACGATGCGGATAAACTTGGGGGCCTATTCATTTCCTGAAGTGGTACCTGAGTAAAAGGATAGCGTGAAAGGGACGATATTAACCCCATCGCTTATCACTTTCATGAGACCACACCGTCCAGCGGTGTCAGTACACTATTGCCTGTTGGACGGCTTCGGCCATTAGATTTGCTAATCCAGTCTGGCCTTTAAGCTCTGATGAAAATAGTCATTACTACAACAGGGTTCATGGCATAACAGCAGGATCTGCATCTTGGTCTTACTCTCGAGATGTTTCCATTGCAAACATTTGTAAAACTGCATGTTGGAAGTCTTTTTCTACCTCCTGCAACTTGAGGGATGTCCGGCATGGCAGGACAATCCTACTGTCCATAGCGCAGAGGTCAAGGGACATCCTGAAGGATGGACAACAAGTCATTATGAAGTTCCTTTACCATTTCTGAAATTTTCACATTCCTCCTTGTTCATATGTAAAAGTGTATTCTCAGCATTAGATGTGTCGTCGCCAACCCCCACCTACTCTGCTACTCTACATATGTAGTGACTGTTTGGGTAGGTAGAGACTCCTTCCCCACATTAAGTGTGGGTCTACCAGAGAATACCAGTACCTACCCAAACAGTCCTCTCCCGCCCATCCTCCCCGCTCTGTCTCTGACCTTTTTGAGTCACTTTCGTAAAGAAGGACGATCATGGCAGCAAGGCTGCGCTGATTGTGGGAGGTAAGGGTGCACCACCAGTGATCAGATCTTTTCAGCGAATAAATAAGTTGCGCATGGGAAATTTGCATATGTAGTGACTGTTTGGGTAGGTATTCTCTAGTAGACCTTACCCACACTTAATGTGGGGAAGGAAATAAAGTGTAAATTTTGCAATATAGAAAAGAAACCCACATTTGAAGCAAGATATGAGACAGAGATATACCGCCCCTTTGTTCTGGTCATTGTTTGGCCAGAATCTCAGGAATTCTTTTCAGACATCTAGGAGGATGTGTTAGGTAACAATAGTCTAGAGTGTCTAGGGTTTGGACCCGCAAGTGGTACCCCCTCCATTCCCACATCTTGCCGGGTATAAAAACCTGAATTCTCGCCGCCTTTCCTTTTCATTACTTTGCCTAGAATTGACAGTTGCCAAAAACCAAACTAGAACTGCTTAACTCTTGCTTATAATGTTAAGTCGTCTGAAAAATATTCAAAGATTTTAACTGTTGTAACAAAGAATAATAGGTAAAACAAATGATACAATTGGTGCACAAAAAAGAAAGTGACATGGACTGCCATAATTCCCCAAAGGAGCACTATTTTGATTAATTTTCAGAGGAAATAAAGCAAGTTACAAATGACGAACATTTCATTTGAGAAAATTGGCTGGGAAGTAATAATTGTATCATAGAAAGTATTGGTTTGACCATTGACAGGTGATAATCAAATTTAAAAGCACACAATTTCATTGGAGATAAACAAGTATCCTGTGAGTATACATGTATAATAAATGCTAGAGTAAATTGAATATTCCATTGTAATGAATATCCATGTTGGCTTTTTGAATTTGTATGTACAGTACAGGAACATAGTTGCATTTCATAAGAGAATTCATAAGAGAAGTTATTCAAGTACAAGATATCTTTAATTTGCTCAATTTTCCAAAAATGGATGGAATGCAGTGATTTTTTTGGAAACGGGGATATTTGTTCCATGGAAAGGTAACATTAGAGCTGTCTTAACTGCATAGATAAAGCTGAAATCCAGGAGCTGGAAGCCCATTAATCAGCCACTTGCTTTACTGCTATTTGTCACAGTTTCAACATGTTAAGTTTCTTTCAAGCAACTGAAATCTCACATTTTAGTTTCAGAGGAATGGTCCTGGAGTGAGAATTTTTCATGTCTTTAATAGTAAAATGGTAAAAAGATAATGATAAAAAAAGTATGTACACCTTATTTCCCCCCCCCCTCAGCCTGATGGTGTTAGACTACGTACCATAGGACGCCTCAAATCCTTATCCATGCTTGATGGACAGGCAGTCACTGAAAGTGAAGCTACTGCAGCTTTGAGAATGGCTGCTGGGTCTCGCGTGTCACAAGTATCTCTGCTTGCCCATACGAGGACTGATACCATTAGGCCAAGAAGTCTCAGCCTAGCATCCTGTGCTCAACTCTTGACACAGATAAGTCGTCAGAAGCCAGATAGATTAAGTGAGAATGATGGCAACTGGTACAGTAAGGTATTTTTTTGTTTTTTTACTTTTTTAACATTTTGGCAATTTTGTGCTATATCAATTACAGTGGCTTTGAAAAAAACAGTCATTTAAAGCATTTTAAACAATAGTGTTTTTTTCTTTGGTTAAAAACACCCTAGGACATGGTTTAAGAACACACAATGCTTGTAATATAAAAACCATGACATTACTAGCAGCTGAGATAACCACACTGTGCACAACTTGATATGCTGTAATTAGACTTGACCCTCATAATAAAGTAAATATGAGGATTATGCTACGCATCCTAACACTCTAAAGAGGGAGACCAAAATCTTTGATTGGGTAATTTTAAATTTTATAACCTGTTTTAAATGACTACATTTCGCTCCTCTATTTTTCTCTACTAGGTATAACTGTAATAATTTTTATTCGACTAAACAAGGAGGTATAAAAAGGAACAGGGTAAAAACACTGTATACACCAAAAACATTAGAGTGAGATATTCAGCAACTAGGAAATAAAAACGGAACTCTGAGCCAAAGAAAAGTTAAGGTCAGACAGAAAAATCATCAAATAAGCAATTTTAACAAGGATTCACAGAAAAGCAAATAAATACCACATATTGCAGTTGTGTTCTTTGGGGGATTTAATTGCACTTACCCACAGTTGTGTGTGTACATACATTTTAGAGCAAAGATAAGAGTAAAACTTCACAAAACAATGCAATTACATACAACCGCTCTCCTCCAAATAAAAATAATGCAAAACAGCCAAAAGGGGTTTCAAAGAAAACAGGACCTGGATACACCACCTAGCAGAGGAGTTGATGTCTGGGGGATCCATGAATATTTGCGCCAAGGAGTGGGATTTCAGCATGTTCAAATTCCATGTAGTGGAACTGCAAATTTACGGAGACAGGCTGACCTCGGTGAAGGCTTATTTGCCCAAAAGAACCCCCCCTCCCCCCTAATTTGGTTGTGGATCTGTCTTTGCATGTGCCTTGTAAATAAGCAAAAGAATTAAGAAAAATAAATACATGCATGCAGAAAGTATACAGAAAGCTCTTGAAAAAGTTTCATTACATGGTGAAAATTTGTTAAACTGTTTAATACTATTCTTCTTTGTTCTGTAGGGGAAAATTAATACCATAACTTCCCCATCAATTTTTTTCTGGTTTTAAAAGTTTACCTTCTTTCTTTCTTTTTTTTAAATCAAGTGACATTTGTGTTGTCTTTCAAAAGTGGCAACAGTTTTTGTTTTTTCAAGCACTTCTCTAAGCATAGCGGTGAGTTTAAGCAACGAAGTGAAAACTATTGTACAGTATTTTACTACGCCATCTATTAGTTGTTTTGACATATTTTGCTGTAGGCTGCTTTATTTAATTTTTTTAAGTCTTGTATTTTGGGCTACTCTACATGTAATGGAACCTTGATCTAAAAGGCAATTCCTTCATACATTAGCATACAGTAGCACTATTGGCTTGGACAAAAGTACATTAGTTGCCATGACATGTTAACCAGGTCTCAGTTACGCGAAGGATATTTTGCAAGGAATTAGCATGCATAAATGACACAAACTAAAGTCCTTTTTCCTTGTGCCACAGACATTGAACAGAAAACATAATAAAAAGTTCACCATTGTATGCAGTCTTAACACTGCAGCCCCCAAAGCATTGAACATTGGGCACATTTCTACTTCTGGTTCTTTCACGCAGCAGTGAGTAGTTCATGAGTCTTTTCATGCTTTGCTACTACAGGTAACCACCCTTAATTTGGATGGCCAGCATATAAGTAAATTGTCCAATTTGGAGAGACTAGTGAATCTTCGATGGGCTTCTTTCAGTGATAATGACCTAACGAAGATAGAAGGTTTGGATGAATGCATTCAACTGGAGGAACTTGCTCTTGAGGATAACTGCATTTATAAACTGGAAGGTTAGTGTCAATACAATGTGTAAAGGAACATACAAGACTAAAAATCAGTAATTAAACAAGAGTTTCTTTGTATGAATAGCATAAAAATTGAAAAGGCTGATACATAGTTTAAAACTAAGAAATTTATGGTGCTTTCTCAAAGGGATGTGACTTTTCTTCCAATTTTGTGATGTCTTGAAGTTTTCTTTATGTAAATAAAATTTCAAAACTGGAAAAAGTATGACACTTGATAATTTTTCGAGAAAGTTTATTGATAGGCCAGATGGACCAGAAGTATGCCAGTGAAATCCATGTTTTGTTTTGTTTTTATTTTGCTTAAAAAGGTTATATTAATTTTTTTTCAACAATAGAATGGATCTCGACCTCTGTTTCATAGCTCAAATTCAGTAGCAGTAACCAGTATAATCCCACTGCATGTCACATGTTATTTATTTTGTGTGGTGACTCTAGGAACAGATGATGTCACTTCAAAATTTGACACCCAGCAAGAACTTTCCAAAATGTAAATTATGGAACGAAATAAAGGGCCAGCATAATAGAAATATTTAACTACTTGCTGCCGGGTGCTTTTTTTAAATGCACCTGCCGGGCTGTTTTTTCATATTTTCATTTTTCAAAAATCTTCAAAAATTCATTTATTTTTTTTCTGAGTGCTCAAACCCCATAAAATGACTGTCTTGTGGAGAGTTTAGCCCCACAAGCAACTTCCATTGACCCTTCAGTTTTGCAGCCACGCTGCCCACTCTGTATAGAGCCTCAATTGTGTAGTGTTGCATAATCCCTCTTTTTTCCCAGTCATTGGCCTTACTGTACTGCAGTGTTCCAATGCAGAGCGATTTAGTAAATCCAAGTACTTCTAATTCCGAGTACGAGTACAAGTACTTCTAATTCAAAAGTAGTTTTATCTTAATTTAGAGACTCTGAGACCTGCCACTGTCATGACTGTGTAAAAGAAACACTGAATGTAGATGACATGGCTACAAGAACAAGTGATCTGGCTAGCAATGTCGCAGTCACTACGCGTGCGTTGCAGCAGTTGACACAACGTGCACGGCGCGGCGAAGTCTATTTTCCAGACTCAATTATTCATATACCTGTGATTTTCTGTATGATTTCTGTGATTTTCTGTTCGTCGTTAGAATTTTCAGGTCCAGGAAGCAAACTACCAATGCCAAAGTAAATCGCAGGACCATTCTGGAGTATTACAATATAATTTGCGTACGTGATTGGTTAAGTATGCGCACAGACGGCGAATGGGTCGTATACGTTAATGGTCCCACGTTAGGCCTTCTCTTTGTCAGAACCGTATCGAATATTGGGTCATTGGGGTCGATATTTTTGTATCTTATTTGAGCGGCCGTGGTAAGGTAACTTAAAATATTTTTTTATCGAATACTGTTAATCGAGTGCGACTACTTTGATGCTCGAGTACAAGTTTTGGATGTCAAGTTCCGAGTATTTTGTAGCCCGAGTACAAGAACTGTAGTTCGAGTACTTAGACATCCGAGTACAAGTATGAGTATGAGTACTCTGAAAACGGTACTCGAGTAATACTCGAGTACGAGTACCAAGTATGAGTACTACAACACTGCGATTTACGGTCAAGACTCCAGCGTGTAATATGTGGTGAGTGCATGGGAAGCTGTGCCCACATGCACAGGGCAATGTAAACAGTTGAATGCGTGCGGGCCATGACAGACAAATGAGTCATGCTATAAAAATTGGGGTCTAAAAGTGTACTTTTTGCAACGCTGTTGCATCTAATCTTTGCTACTTTTTTGAAGCTATACGACATTTTAGGGTTTGTATTTTCCCATATATATATATATATAAGAATGTATATTTCCCCCAAACCACCCTCATATTTTATCTCACAATTTGTCCATCCCCCCCATCTAAGTCTGAGTTCAAAATGGTTATTTCCCACCCCAAAACTTTATTGCTCCCAAAATTTCAAGTAAAACCTTAGAAACCAATAAAACAAGTAAACAAAGAAATGCACACAGACAAATATTTGCAGAGAACTTCTTTTTGTCTCATTTTTCTTCTTGTCATTTCTCTTATGTTTTCATTTCTCATTGAAATAGTTCAACTCATAAAAGTAGTAAAATAAATTTTCACTCTTTCAAATCAAAGAAAGGCAAAACTCATAAAAGGGCAAGAATTTCACTTCACTGAAACACATTTCCGACTGTGACCAAACTCCTAAAACCAGTACAAAGTTTTTTCCAACTTTTTCAAGGGATGAAAATACGACATCCTCAAGGCAGTACATTGCAGAAACTTTGTCCTTTTTTTGGGTCATTTTTTCAAGGGTTGAAAATATGACCCAATTAGTAAAGCCATTACAAGGAATTTTGTTACTCTTTCAAGGAATGAAAATATAACATGTCCTAAAACTTGTACGTTCAATAAACTTGTTATTTTGGTCATTTTTTCAAGGGATGAAACTATGACAACTCCTAAAACCACAAGTAAATGACATATTCTTTTACACTAGATAAATGGGGCTGCAAGTCATGAAAATAACAAAATAATGTCGCGGGTTCACCGTCAAGGTGGGCAAATTGAAGGGCAGTAGCACAGATCTATACTTCACACAGCTGGTTTAATTCCGGGAACAGATCCGAATGGTCCAAGGTCAGAACATGAACTCTCTATTTACAATCTAGCATGGCTATTTATACAGGTTGGGCTTGTTTTTACAGAGAATTAAGAACAAAACATTCCATCATAACATTTACTAATAACTCACATAAGGTAGAACAAAACAGCGTGCCGCGTAGCGAACATTAGTGTCTCACGCTCACCGCAAGAGGGCGCTAGCACTGTTTACATGTGGTTCTGATAGCGCATACGCAGCGGTAACTCAACTGTGCACGGTCAATGCACGCTGGAGACGCGACGTGATCGAAATAATAATCGCAGAGCGCGCTGTGACTATATAATACCAGAAATAACCAGTAATCATTAACTAATAATCGATCAACAGTTCATGTTGAGTAATTTCACAACAATAATAATGTCCATGAAAATGGAAAATAAATATTTAAGTGTCAATCAGTGGATGGTACGGTACTTCTTGAAGCAGGGGGCGATGCAGAGGGGCTGGTAGCATGTGTCATACTCGATGTGTACATGTATCTTCTTTCGCTGACCCTGAAATAAAGCCCCAATTCTCCATCCCCGGGAACCTAAACTTTTTAACTGACAGCAACAAACTCTAAAAAAAACACCCGGCAACTTTTTATTTTCATTATTTTTTTAATTTTTTTAATTAGAGTTCCGATTTCGGATTCCCTGGCCACGGATATAAGGCCTATGTGTCCAGAACCAGGCACCCCTGTGTGAAGTGGTTAACGAAAATCATTGTATTTGCGCTTTTTTTTTCAATTAACTTTATTTTCAATTCTTGTGTTTCTATTTTTATCTGTATTTTCGGGCCTTTTTGGTTTTTATTCCCACCAGGGTGCCCAGTTTCGGGCACCCTGTGTTTATATGCAGAGCTGGGGTGCCCGGTTTTGGACAAAAGAGCTGGTCAGTGTAACAAAAGACTGTACTGTACTTGGAACAAAAGACCTGCTGCTGGGAATTGCCATCATTTTTTTACTTCCATTTTTCGAAGGTAATCTGGCACTGTTTTGAAACAGTATACCACTTTTTTGGGCAAGGAAACAAAGGAAATTATGCAACACTTCACAATTCTGGGCTCTCTTTTACAGGGCTGCAGGCCTGGGCTGAATACTCGGACGTCAATGAAGGTTGTCTGACAGATTAGAGTAGCCACCAGAGAGTCGTTCGTGTGGGTGGAAATGTCCAGTAAATAAATACATGAATTTTTGAAGAATTTTAAAAACGGAAAATCTTGAAAAGGCCCGGCATCTCATCCCATTTGAGAGAAATCTTCCCAGCATGAAGTAGTTGATATAGATTTTAATATTCATGAGCAAAACTGTGATATAATCCAAGGCACTGAACCTCAATGTTGCATTGATCTGTGCAAAAAGTTTTCTAGATTTTCTATACTTTGTTATCAAAGATTTTCATTTCCTTTTGCAATTTTTGTTAATAGAAAGTACATGTACATGGCAATAAGCCAGCAAGCAACATTTTCCCATGAATTTGTTCTAAGCGAAAATTAGGCTTTCAATATTTAAACAATATGGAAAATGAACTTCTTGGATAAACACTGCCCTCATTTTTCTTTGTCAATTTTCAATATTTCAAAAGTCAACTTTACAGTTCATTAACTCCAAAAAGATTTCGAACAGTTTTCATATATTGAAGAAGAGCTTAGATATGCTCAAAAAGTGATTCTGAGAAAATTTATTGCATTGAACCTTCAACGTAAATTGCATGGCTTTTGGTGTTTTTTAACAAGATTTTGTTGCAGTCACAATTGTTGGCAAAAAAGCATTTTGCAATCACATTCCTCAGGCAGGCAACCATACATATGAATTGGCACAATGGCAACTGAAAATTGCTATTATACAATGAAGGCTGGGAAGGAATAGGGTGTAAATGTTTTTGCTATTGCAGTTTTGTGGGGATGAATTATTAATTAGTCCAAACGTGGTTGTACGTTATTTGTGAGAATGAATCAATAATTCATTGAATAAATACATGTGCGAATAAAATAGCATGGTAGAAATCTCCATGCCGTCCCTTCCTTGTCCTTATAAATTACGGAATAACTGCTATGCATAAACATTTTCTGTGGAATCTAAATATAATGTTATCTACAGTAGCATTGTATTGTGATATGTTCAATGTAAACTGACAGCATTTCTTTATCGCTTCAATTTATAGGCATTAGTAAACTGACTAAGCTGCACACACTGAACCTCAGCTTTAATAATATATGCACACTTGAAGGAGCAGGATTTGACAGGTTGACTCAACTCCAGTGTTTAACCATCAGTAACAACAGAATTGGATCTCTCAATGGCCTGGCACATGTAATGTCTCTGTTGGAGTTGTACATCGGGAATAACCTTATCCAAAATATCCGAGAGATTTTCAGTCTAAAGGTAGGTACAGCTCACACAAGTCACTCTTTACTCTTGTTAAATTCCCTAGGTAATTACACAAGAAAACACACACCAGATTCTTGCTTAAAAAGGGAAAAAATATAAAGTGCTTGCTGTCACCTGGTGAAAAAAGCACTTTTCTGATACTTGATTGATCAGTGTGTCAGTAATTTAGATATGTTGGACCCACTCATGAAAATAAAGGCTTCCTTTCTGAAAGAGAAATATGTGAACCAAACTTCTGTTTTACCATCACATAGCTTATGCCTCTAATGCTGATTGAACCTGATGTGAAAACTGATGTGACAGGATTTTTCATATCGTTATCTCTCTGTTCCTTCCCATTTCACTTTTTTTTGTATTAAATAATGTTCTATTCCTTAGATTGACTCTATACGTGTAGAGAGATAGAGCCTTCTATGCATAGGTCATGAATAATTCATAAGAGAAGCCACATGCCACTTCCTGTGGCACCATCTTCTGAGCCATGTGGCTTACCTCATCATTCTGATGTTAGCATACGACAGGTACACACGTTTTCTTCTTTATGTCATTGTTCAACAACCAAGTTCTCCACCTACATGTATATGTACACTGTAGAATGTTAAACCTTTGATGATCTTTGGCTGCTATTACCAACCTTTTGTATTATGCATACTCTAAGTTCATCAATATGTACATGTAGCTACTGGAAAAGAACATTTGGTGTCACAAAAACATTGTAACTGAGAAAAAAGGTAGCAGCTGCTGAATGGAGGAGCTGTAATCACAGTTCAAATTCAGGGATGGAGAGGGGGAGAAGGCAACCAAGCTGGTTGTGGTCAGGTTTCAGGTTTATTTCCATACTATATATAAGTAAATAATATAGAAGTTAACAGAACTAAATTTATAATAGTATTTGGGAGGTCAGATAAAAAGCGGAATGTTGTACTGGGTCTGCCCCTTGAAGGAGAATACTTGTAATTACACAATTCTTAGGGTAAAACATTAACAATACCGAAGTGTGATTGCTTTCTTCGCTTAAATTTTAAATGATTGCACTCGTATAACAGACTCATTCCTGTCCCCGCAGTGTATAAGGTAATGTGGGGACCGCTAACCAGACTATATAAATGTACTATGGAAGGGCTGTGTAGCACCATGATCAGAATATCGAGAAGAATATAATATCAAATCATTGTCAGTGCTCACATTGAACAATTTCGCATTCAACAGTGAGCTCTGCATTCATACCAGTGGTGTGGTTATGGGCCTGTCTGTTTGTTGGCCACATGGAGGAGCAGATGCTGACCCAATATCAGGGCATGCAGCTGTTAATGTACTGGCGATACATCAATGATATAGTTGGTGCTATCACCGGGAGGTGTGATGACGTTGATAATTTCTTAGCGTTTGCGGATGCTTTTCACCCAGCACTGCACTGTGCATCTGATGTGTCACAACTCTCTGTTACCTTCCTCGACGTGCGTGTCCAGATCTGTGCCCGGAAACTTGGCACAACTATGCATTACAAACCCACAGATTCCCACAGCTACCTGCAATACGTACCAATCGTCTCACCCCTCAAGTGTGAGAACTCCATCCCTTACTCTCATTTTTTCGACTGCACAGGATTTGTAGTAGCAATGCAGAGTTCTCTGCGCGTGGGAAGGAAATGCTAGGTTTCTTTCATCAGCGTGGTTACCCCCCCGGTTATCACAGACGCTGCCTTCAACGTCTTATCTTCAATCCCACGCGAAACGGCTCTGAAACCCCCAGGGCCAAGCAACGTGATCACATCCCCCTCGTACTCACATACCACCCTCAAAACATCCCGGTATGTAATATTCTTCTCAAACATTTCCGTACACTCAGAAATGATGCGGCCACAGCTTCCATTTTCACCGAACACACGATCGTTCTGCCGGGGACATGGTTGTACTTTCCCGGTTGGATTCCGTCTCGCCGTCAAAAGCAGGCAGCAATTCCCCTTGTCAGCACCCCAGATGCAACACCTGCCCCTACATAGTTAACAGCCCGTTGGTTGTTGGCCCCCACGGTATAGCTACAGAATACACTTGGATCATACATGCATTACTAATGTGGTTGCATTACATGTCGTCGCTGTGGTAAACTGTACATCGGAGAGACCAAGCGTTGCCTAGGTGACTGTTTCGCAGAACACTTGTGTGCCAACAAACACCTGGTCTCACTGTTGCACAGCACTTTTGCGCGCCGCCACATACCCTTGGTGACGTAAGCGTCTGCATCCTGCGGAAAGCGTCATCTGATGTACAGCGTAAGGAACTGGAGCAGCGCGTCATTTTCAAACTTTAAACGCTGCATCCAGGGGGAATGAAGGTGGATTTTTCCGCGTTCATTCAGAACTGAATCTGCTTGCCCTGAAGAAGGTACTCAGTTACCGAAAGCTTGGCAATCACATATATCAGAGCACTGATTTAATATTATATTCTTGTTGATATATAAATGTATTCGGCTGGTACCCGCACTAGTTTCACATTAGCATTTACGCAATTATCGAAACAGGGGACAGTGCATTTGCAAACGATATCATTTACGTATAACTGTAAGTTTTACAGTAGGCTCATTATCTTCTGAAATTGTTCAGCTTGTTTCTTTGGATAAGTTCCTTAAGACAGGGGTATGACAAAACAATTAACAACACAATTAGCTTAGTGCTCCCAGGCTTTGCCTCGGGGCGCCATACGGCCCTCAGGTGTGCACAACGTTATATCCCACACCGCAGCGGTTAATAATTGTTAAATCTTACTTTATTTTTCACATTACAATGTAAAAGGAAAATAAAGATATCACAAATTCACGGCAATAAATTTCGATCTCACTGATGCAGATGTGGTCAGGTTGTGCCCCCCAGCACAGCAAACAATTGCAGAGGACGTCATCAACTGGATTTTGACGTACTGACATACACTTGACATGAGACCCTGTCAGCCAGTGTAGATTGAGTGACTTAACCAGGAGACAATACATGTAGTGCCCTGGAGAGTCTCTGCCAAATTATTCATTACAGGTCATGAAACTTCTCCAACGGGCAGAAATCACATCACCTAAAGACTGTCCTCAGGTGATCAATATGCTTGTTTCATTTGTTTATTGTACGTACCTTCTATTAAATTTTGCCCAAGTTGTGGCATTCTTGTGTTTACTGCTCTAGTTTTCTTGTCAGAATATCTTAAGAGTGGTTGTCTCGTTATTCTGTTTCTGTTTTGGATCTCTGAGTCTGTTTGTATTCCGCCGGAATTTTGGTGTTTCCCTTCTTTCTCTCTGTATTTCATCTCCCTCTCTGTGTATTAGATACAAGTTCCAGAGGGAGATTTTAGAGTTTCACCTCTCTTTGACTTCTTTGCCCATTCATGGGCCAGGGATTGCTGGTTAGTAATAAGGACAGTGGTGCAGTCATTTTGGTCCTTGCTCACATAGGGAATAGGACAGTGCACAGATTTTACCATTCCCTCCCTTTTGGTCGGTTCGGGGTATGACCATGCGATACCCTTATTTGCTCCAGTAATGCACCTGTGAGTATGGAAATATTCACGACATCATGAGGGGTGGGCTACTGGTGTGTTATCCGGTACGCTGCTCTGCGTGCCCATGGGCCCTTCGAAATCCTGTTATCTCTGGTCCGGCCGCTCCACTACTGCCTTCCAGAGTGAAGACTTCTGGGGGGTAACTGAGTTTGCCACTCGAGAGAGTGCACGGCCAACTCATTGCTCAGCACAGCCACAAGGTTAGGTGTAACCGTAGCACGTAGGGATCTCTTATGGGCCTCTTCAAGCAGCGAGCATTGTGTTCAGCCCACTCCCCCTCCTCCACGGTTGGAGCATGTGTGAGTACACCCCTCTCGCAGGCAACTCGGGGCATAACTCGGCTTCCTGCAGTCAGCTTGGCTTACCAGTGTAGATTCGCTGTTGCACGCAGGGATTTCTTCAGCGGGCGCATTTCACCCTTCTGCAGCTGCTTGGTGTGTGACTTATTCTGGGGTTAGGCTTCCTCACAAAAAATCAAACTCTATCCCCCCATTCCCCGATTATCTTCGTCCTTGACACACTTTGTGTGTCAAAAAAGTGGAAGAATATGGCGGCCGCTTTCACTGGGTTTAAGCAAGTGGGGCCACACTACTGGTGATCGAAAATTTACCGAATGGAAGTAACGGACTAGGAAATCATGCATAGGTATAGGTAATCTGGCGGGTATGCAGTAATAGACTCAACCTACCTAGGTAGGTGGAGATTTTAATTGGCTCTTTTATGGATAAAAAATTGCTAATGATATGAACAGACCAATGACGTTCACTGCATGAAGAGTATTCTTGTGCACAGTTCAGCATCATCAACATGTTACACAATCAAGTGTTGCCCGAAGTTAGAAATGCAATGTCACCAACACGACTTGAATTATCATGTCATATCACAAAGACATTCATCAGGAAGGAGAGGGACAGAGAGGAGATCTACAAAGGCCTTAAAACTGGTAGTGGGATTGGGTGGAAACAAAATCTGGATGAATTTTTTCCTCCAAGTTCATTCAGAAATTGAAGAAGCTGCAGCATTGAAACCAACTTAAGCTTGTTCCAGAACCAACTCATCCACTCAAGTGGCTGCACTTGCGATGTGATTGACGACTCTATCTGTGATTGGAAACATCTGCAGCAGTCCATCACGACTGGTGAAGTCCTGCACATTTGGTCTTATAACCCAGTTGAGGATGACTCTTACCAGCTGCTTCTTCATGCTGAGCTTCAACTGATGGTTATGGAAGCACTGCACAATGAGGCAGGACAAGAGTGGATTTTGATCCTTATCAGAAAAAGATTCTTCTGGCTTGGAATGGCTGCGTCAGTTGAGAAATGGTGCAAGACTTGTGAGCAATGTACCATCTCTAAAACACTATTGCAGTCCAACAACTATGGGGAAGCTACTAGCTGAGCACCCACTTGACATCTTAGCAATCGATTTCATGATTCTCGAAAGGGCAACAGATGGCAGGGATAATCTCTTAAGTCATGACAGATGTTTTCAGTAGAATTCTCCCAAAATGTTCTGTGTCGAGATCAGAAGGCACCGATTGTGGCTGAAGTCCTTGTTCAAAAGTGGTTCCAGAACTTGGGGGTTCCATGCTGATGTAATGGAATTCCCACACTAATGTACAAATAGGTTAACAGAGATAAGCATTTTGTTATCAGAATGGAAAATTTCTTCAGATAGTCAAAAGTAACAGCTGTCTTTCAACTTAAAACAGACTTTGCTTGAATTTCCTGGGACTGGCTGGATAACCACCTGCTGTATTCCAATGGGAAATGAAAATCTGCTTCCAATGTTCACCACCATTACCACACTCAACACCATTACCAACCATAAACCATTAATAGTAGTGTTTAGAAATCAATAAAATTGTCACAAAGGAAGAGACAGATGTCATAAGATAATATTTATATTACGTATTGAAATTTGAACTCTTGCAGCATCTTCCCAACTTTGTTATTCTGGATCTGTTTGGAAATCCTGTAGCATCAGCAGAAAATTACAGGCTGTTTGTGGTGTATCATCTCAGGACATTGAAAGCTTTGGATGGCACTGCAGTGGTAAGTTCATTTGGTAGCTGGAATTGATAATTACATTGCTTAAATGTTAAAATTGTAAAGTGAGAATATATTTTTCTTTTTGGGGTGCAGGATAGTTGAGGCAAAATGGTGATTGGAGCATGTTTTTAAAAGTTTTTGAACCAGTTGGGGACAGTTTAATTTGTTACGAAATTCTGGACCAAGTTGTAGGGACAGACATTTTTTATTATAGCATTTTTGGTCCCTACGATATATATACTTTCAGGTGCATCTGTATAGGTCATTCTTAGGATTTGGTTACTTTGGGACCAATGGGCTAAATTTCATAATTTCTTATAATTAACAAAGAGATCATGTCATGACAACAGCTCTGATTATACGCAATATATTTGTCAGGAAACATGACCTACAGTACATTGCGATTGAAAGTTAATACCAAAGTGGGAAAATCTTTTTACATTTTTTTCTCTTCCCAGGGAATTCCTTTTCTTTTCACAAAAGTGGGAAAAGATTTTCACAGATTATCTCTGGTAGTGGGGGAAATAATTGTGCAAGCTTTCTTCATTAGTTAGTATTTGTGCATGTACATATAGACATAAAACAGTTTTTGTTTTCTGTGGTTTGAAACATGTGCATCTCTGAATATGGAAGCGGAGGAAAATCAGTGTGAGACAAAAGCACTTTAATTCTCTGGAATATCCCGAAGATAACTTGAGGAAGACAGCATTAAAATTTCAACGCAGTATGTGTCTCGGTGTTGAGCAAAATACAATGAGACAGGCGAAATCAAAGCTGGCCTATGGTGGAGGTTGGAGACAAGCACTGAACGCTGAACAGCTGAATTACAGTAGATTTCCATTATAGCCCGCTCTCAATGAGACCTAACAGAATTGAGCGTTATAACCGCACAGCCTAGTGTATAACCGACTTGGATGGGTGCCCAACATGTGCACTGCATATGTGCACATATACAGATACATGTACATGTATGTGAATTACATTTACATGTATTGGCAGATATATATACCGTAATTTTGGAATAAATGCCTTTTATCCAGTTATCTCGATGTTTTCTTGACGCTGATAAAAAAACATCACCAAATCTCTTCAAAAACCACCACGGGACCTTGTGCATGCCGCGCCGTATCGCAAAGCATGCACTGCATCTACACCCACCGCAACATCCTGACTATTAACTGCATGCCCATTCATGGACTGTCCAATCTCTGACTTTTTCCAATAACCATGTGACCACAGAAAGTGACATGTCTTCAGAAAACCCAAGTGAAAACAGACCCGATATGACACGCCGAACACAATCGGCAAAAAGACGAGATTTGCTACGTGCAGATACACGTACAATTTAAGCAGTTGATTTTATTTATAGGTAGAAAGAAACCTTTAGAAAACTACATGTATCTCAATGTTGATTTTTTTTGTGTGCCAAACTACGCCACGAGAATAAATAAAAAGAATGGGCAAATAACCCATGTCGCCACAGCAGAGCAAGTTAAAAGTGTGTCATGTCAGGGGTATGCAGTCACTGTGGTGGGCCTTTTGTGTTGGCTAACTCTTTCTTGTTTTCATGACTAAGGAAAAGCTCATGCTTATGAGTTGGTTGTTAACAGCTTCATCAGGATGTGTAGCCTATGCTTAAAGGTGGAAATAAAATATAGCATTTGATTATTCTCAGACAATTTACAGACTATGCCACTTGGACAATGAACTTGTGATTTCTGGAACAGCTCAACAAATGCATTTGTTAATACTGTTGCCCAACTAAACACATTGGGTGAAAATGTCTTAACCCCTTGACGGCGGGAATTTCTTCCCCGAAAGCCGACTGCGAGAATTCCAGCCTCGCTTGGCCACGAAGGCCACCTGCCAAACCGCACATTCTCGATTTGTGGCCCTGCGTGCTCTGCACGTTTTGAATTACACAGTGAAAAGGCTGATTGCTCGGTGGCATGCAGCTCTACTCACCCTTCCTTATTCCCATTGCCTCTTTTCAAAGTGGGGACTATTGTGAAGCTGGTGATTATGGTGCAAATTCGGTCTTTTCATTTCTGGGCTATGCACAAAGACCAATTACCATATATACAAGAACCAGGGTCTGCCTTCTTTCACCATGTTCGCTTGAGCGTGAGCCGAGAATGATAGCTGAAAAGTGGGCTGAGGATCTCAATTTTTACGGCGTGTCTAGCCGCCTCCCGGGGCGAAGGGGTTAACCATGGCAGTTTGCAGAGTCAATAATGCAGGCGTATGAACTTTAAAATCACATTTTGAACACAGGGCATGCTTGCCCCCACATTTAGAACTGTAACTGAAAATTACCAAGCAATTAAAAAACTTGGCATACTTGCCACAAATAAACTTGGCATGCTTGCCACACATACTCTTGTGATATGCTTGTCACACAGAACTAGGGGCATGCTTGCCTGCACGTACAGACTTGGCACGTTTGCCACATGAATTTGGGCAGATATTGCCCACACACTTCCCAAACCAATTATGCCACACGCGCAAGGCGCGCCCCATGGGACAAAGGACCACCACAGCGAACACAAAGAAGATCCCCCAACCCCACTCAGCTGAACAACAAAAATAAACCTTCCACCAATGCAAAAGGCACAGCCGCTGGTGGCTTGCACAGGAATCAACACGTGCTCAACCCATGGGTACATTAATCTTTAGTATTACTTCTAATGAATGGAACATTAAAAGGTAACGTCATGCAGCCAACTGTATAAGAATAAGCCCTCTATGAGAAAGGTGTACCCCATCATATCAAAACAAGTGGAACTGCGACCACTGAACTTGTGGGTGGTGAAGAACCTATGCCCCATTTATTCGTGGAACGCCTCTTCATCTCCACCCTGGAGGGGGAATATGCCCCAAAGTAACAAGCTCTGGGAAGTACAGTATGTCAGACCAGACAAGCCTTGCCCTTGGAAACCTCGAAGCATTCCAGCATGAAATCTTAATGCGCTGTCTGAAACAAAAGGCGTCCAACTACACTAGGTCATTTGTACCAAGGTGAACAATAAGCAATTTAGGGGATGGCCACCTAGCTTCCAGTTCATCCAGCAATTTAGGAATGGCGCTGTTACGAAGTCATATATTTTTTTAGCACGAACATTGATTACCTCAACACAGGGATTTAAAAAAACAGAACTCACAAAGGAAGGACAGCAGAGACAAAGGTTAACTTAATCAAAATTGAATTGATCTTTCGTAAAAACAGAAAACACAACAAAAGTATTCTATTTACAAAGGGCAAATTATAAAATGAGCTTAAGAAAGATAGACACCGTCCTTAAATGTAGGGATTGCTCCGACAAATATGAGCGTGGAGACCCCTATGGATTTATATCCAGGGATTACTCACTTGCCAGTTCTACCGAAATGTGGGGAAGTCTAGCTTACTCATGAAGAACTATGTAAACAACACAAAATATTATAGATATAGCAAGACAGTCAGGCAGCAGAGTAAATCAGAAATTTGCCTAAATTGGGATGTTAAAGAGTTTTGAGTCCAATAACAACAAATAAAATGCAATAAGCCACATGGAAAAGCCATCTTGGCAAAATGGCAAGAAAATGCTTGCTCACGTGACATGACTGTGTTTCTGGAAGGGGTGTTAAAGAGAATCACTGGTTTATTGCATGAAGGTTGTCCGTGTAACAAAGAAAAGACTCATCAAATTGCTGGAATTTAATGAAAAAGGGCAGACAAGATGGCTACCCAAACAATGTGCTCTTGGTCAACAAACAATTCAGCTGAGAACTAGGGAACATGAAGAGCACCACCAAGGCTGAGGAGTGGAGAAGAATGTCAGTGCTGTAAAATGTGAAGGGTGCCACCAATGTCTTATAAGAAATGGTCACCAGGATCAAATAAAAAACAATGTTGACTCCGTCATAAGCTGAACCGAAGTGAAGATTTCCCCGTCAACTGTAAGGTATTTTGCCACATCACCATGCACGCATCGCTCCCATTGGTTAGTATAGTTAGAATTTCACCTTTGTGCACACCCCTCCCCAATGAGAGCCAAGGGCACCAGGCATTTGGACTTTACCAAAAAACTTGTTAAAGACAGTGCGACTGTGTCACAAAATAATCATCTAACGAGGGTACCCCAAATGTATGGTTACTGAGAATAATGTATTTATTGTTTATGTACAATAAAATGAATTAAGATAAAGGGGAATATACAATGAAGGATATAGATTGTAGAATGTTAACCTTTAGTAAAATAAACAGTGGAGCATACCATCTTTCAGACACTGGTTAAAGGATATTATGGCACTAGTACAGAAAAAAGCAAAAAAGATTGCATTTTCATTTTGTCAATTTCACAGGACAAAGGAGCAAACAAATTCTACACTTGAATTGAAACTGCTTGTCAACATTTCAATTTTTTGAAAATTGCATGCATGCAATGTTTTCCACAGTTTTTTAGGCTTCAGTGCTGGGATAGGAAAAATGTAATTTTATACTAAGTTTGAGTAATTGGCTACTTTCACAGGAATCCTCTGAAGGTGGAACTGCGAAGGATAAATTTGGTGGCAGGTTGACACAAGACTTTGTAGCAGAGAAACTGGGTCACTCAAACTTTCACGAAGTGCGGGAGCTAGACTTTCCTCAATGTGCTTTTCGGCAGATTGATCTTGGGACAGGGGAGCACTTCATAAACCTAAGAAGGTAACAGCTCAAATGTTATACAAAATTTAGACTTGCTGCTACAGAACAGATGGTTGTAAAGAAAATTATTGATTACATGTACCACTATTTACAGTGTGCATGGTTGTTTAAAACACTCTGATTTTCCAATGGGCTTGTAGCAGTTAAAACTTGTTAATCAGGTCATCTAGAAGTTGTAAGAATGACCTTGATTTGGGACTTTTACAAGAAGTACATCCAAACAATTATCATTCATTGCAAATGTACATGTCATGCATCTTCAAAAACACTTCACAATGTGCAGATATCATGAATAAAGGCAGTCGTGTGTAAGAGGGCAAGGGTCTAAGAAGGATGGAGAAATCATTCTCTCTTTGCACACTCAATGTCTGAAGATTTCTGCAGAGACACGGACAAAATGCCTTCCATTTAATGAGTAATTGCTTTAAATTGTTTCGTCAGTGCTATATCTACTTATTACATTTAAGGTATCTTTTTGCTTCAGTGTGAACTTGGAGCATAACAGTCTGCAGTCTTTCAGTGGCCTTGTGTACTTGTTGAACCTCAGGGTATGTAAATTCATTGCATTTAAGCTTTTGTGAGTAAAGTTTGCTGCACACCTGATTTTACTGGTTCACTGAACTGTCTTGCTATCACAAGTACAGACTGCAGAGGTGTGCACTGAAGAGTGGACCTGTCTGATCATAAACCATGTGACCGGAGGAAATCAAATATGTTTGATTTGGTTTTCAAATCTGATTTTACCAGATCCAATATACTGAAAAGATGTGCTGGAACCCTTTGATTCCACTGGAAATGATAATACTGTTGGGTTAATGAAGAAAAGGCACATGATTCAAAAGTGCATCCGTCCAGATAGAAACAGCAATCATGTGACTGGTCATGTATGAGTGTGAATGGTAATAGAACTGAATTGAACGTGCATGCAGGAGAAGTTATGGTTTACCGTAACAATGACAAAAATCATACTGGTGGTGCAGTTATCCAATGAACTGGTGAAAGTGGAAACCTACGGGAGGCTTAAAAGTTGCAGACTAATTGTGCCCCGTATGTATGTCCTGTTACAGTGATGAGGTCAGTCAGTGAAAATGCACCATTTATTGTTGGAAGTATGAAGATTTTCATGTTTGGTTGTATTCTTGATGTGTTACCTCTGAGGCTATGTTCAGACAGTGTTTTAGCCAAAACTGTGAACATCGAAATGGTTGCTGGGGGAGGGCGATGGTAGCCATAAAATTAATATGAATCCAGCATTCAGATACCGTTTTCACATTGCAAGTTCAACTCAAACTGGTTAATCCTTATTTCTCATGGTCACTTCGAACTTCCCCTCATGCATATTAAGTGCATACCAGACTATGCACACTGAAATTAACACTGCTTGACATTCATCATATTTCTTGCTTTGAACTCGTGAAATGTTCTGGAACAAACTTCCTTTTTATAGAAATTGCTTAAATAAGTTGTAGATTATTACTTTACGCCATGAGACTTCCCCACTCAAGTATTTCTTCATTGGACTACATTCCATTCATTTGTTTTCAGTTTCTCTTGTTGAAGACTGTGGTGCAGACAGAAAAATTATTTTGCATGACAGTATATGCACTTGCTGAAGGATAAGCTTTCTGCCAGAACTACAGATATCAGTTGGGTTCAAACAGACTGTTGCTAGAAAAATACAATTTTGAAAGAGATGGCTCTCTTCAATTTACATAGTATTTAGTTGAATCTGCCGGATGTACATGTATTAACAAAAAGAATGAATTAAAAGCTCAATTTTCAATGATTAGGTACTTGTCACGTTTCTTATGGCAAAATTTGAGGTGCAAGGGACTCCAAGAGTTCTTGAATCTTACGTCAATCTTTCTCTTTTTGTAATCAGGTATTATGTTTGAATCACAATCACATCGAGTGCATTCTTCCACGTCCAAAGGCTTGTGTAAGTAAAGGATTCTCAAGAGGATTAAAAGATGATCTAACAGATGTATATAGTCCGGGCAATTTCACACCTATTCTGGAAAACCTGGAAGTGCTACACCTGGGGTAAGGTTCATTTAATTTGATATTTGAATTGTTTTCTAGTCATGTGTTTGTGTATATTTATATGCAGATCCTGTGTCATTGATTATCTTGTTACCTATTACTAAACTTGTAAAAGGACTTTAAATGGACTCGATTACAGCACTGAGTGGTTTGACATAAACGTATACTGAGAAAAGTGTGTAATGTTGTCATTGGATCATCAAAACTGCAAATTCTGATTTTCCCTTGAAAAAGATTGAGGAAGATCAAAATGTCATGCCCCCCAACTTTCTGATTTCTAAAGCACTCTTTAGCATTTCTCAACTGATATGAAATTTAATGGGCACAAAAAATATGCAACACAGATGTTTGATAGGGAGTACATATGCCTTTGAATTCCTTTCAATGCCATATTTTGATTCTTTGTTGCTTTAAACTTATTTATAAACCTGTTACAGTACAATTGAACGAGTTTTAGAAAATATCTTGGGACAGTTTTTCTATTCTGATTGGTCGAAACATGTCACATGACCATTTATTAACATTTGATAATGCCCACTGAAAAATGATAATGCCCGCTGCGTAAATCACACTCTGGTATATGGTTACAAGACAGTTTGATTGGGTCCGATTGGTCAGGAGTCTGTGTGCATGCAACATGCCATGATTCACGTTTTCAGCTCTGCAGGGTACAAATATTAAGACTTGTCTATCAATAAATTTTCTAAAGGGTGTCCCAGAAAAGTGTCACTGCCCAATTTTTAGAGTACAAGGCTGGGGCATTCTTGATGAAATGCCCACCTTCATCACAGATATTTGCTTGGGTCCTTGGTATTGTGAGAATCAAGTTTCAACTTTCATGTAGTCAGTTGCTTGTTCCTCCTTGAAACAAAACAAAATGAAAAAAAAATGGCCAGGGCCACTTCTAGTGGACCACTTTGTAGTGTTAAGGTCACCAGGTGGCAAGTCACTAGTTTACTAATACATACCTTGCCATATAGCTCTCTGAAGGGTGTGTACCTTTCACCAGATGGGACTGGATCAGGTGAGTGGTGGGTCTCTGCAAGTATCTCTGTAGGGAGCCATGGAGCCTTCCAAATGTCACAGTCTTGACTCTGACACTTTAAGATGCTGTACATGTAATGTCTGACCTTGCAATGTGTTTCCATGAACTTCATCAGTTTCTCCTTTTTTGGGTGCTGCTTGGTGCGGTCGTTAGTGGTTAATGTGTCATTAATCTGAAAAGAGAAATCACAAAAAATCACATACATGTACAATGCCCTTTTGGTAACTCAGTAACCATCAAACAGGCAGACGAACTGACACACATGTAGAAATAATTCATCAGTTTATGAAAATAACAGGTGTGGCATTTTCGGTATGACAAACTGAAAATATCACCCATGCCACTTCAACAAACCGATGAATATATATTCATGTGTGTATCAGATCTTAAAAATGGTGATGACATGGTATCTTTAAAACTTCACTCCAGAGCAGTTGATGTTGTCTTCAGATGCTGCATCATGGGATTCGAAGCTGTGCTCCTTCAACTGCAACCTTTTGATGAGGGTTGACTGCAGGTCCACCATAGGCTCAACGGAGTGAACAACCTCTTCCTTCAACTCTGGAATCTTCTTCCATAATGCGGATACTCTTCAACGAAGCACACTGCTTCAGCTCATCTTCATGAGGCACTTCCTCCCTCATGACACCCACACCTTGCAAGGCAATATTGACCACACTCATGATTCGCTCCACTGGGTTTTTCCAACTGTGTTGGGGAGGCGTATGGATGGCACACTGAAAGTCTAGGTTAGGGTTCAGCCAAAGGGACATCAGTGAAAGTTGAACTGATAGGTATGTTGACCGGTGGTCAGGACCACCATCTGTGTACAACAGTAGAATTGGTTTCACAAGTCCCAATTTTCGGATTATCTCCTTCAGCTTGGCCATGTGTCTTCCTGGAGATGATGGTTGGAAGGAATTTTCTTTGAAGGTGACAAAGACCCTTCCTCGATGGAATGACGACTCGATGCTTTCAGGGACATCGATAATCAATGCCACACTGGGTGTCAAACTAAGCCTGGTGAAATCATGGTCAGACATAGCAAGTTTCGTTCCTTTAGAAACCAGCACTTCCTTCCCCCTCTCAATTTCAGCAACTGGACAGTTGGGCTCACCAACTTTGATTGTATGCTTGTCATCCAAAGAGGCAAAAGTAGGATGATCGCGAAACGGAATGGAAAAGTCTTTCTCGTATCTGAACAATGCTGATGCGTAGTGGGCACCTATATGATTGCCTCTCAGTTGACGAGCCTGAACCATAAACTTGATTTTGAGACGACCTGTATGGTGGCTAACTGACTTGGCTGTGGGTCAGCGTGGCCAAAACTGCCACCTCAGCCACTGGATACTGGGTGTGGCTGTTCTCTCTGGACACTGACTTGAGACTTGCTCATGAAGGTCTCAAACACTCAGAGCAGTCGCCAAGTGGGTAACTTCATCACCACCAGCAACCACATCATGTCTTCTGTCATCCACAACTGTTTCCACTGCCGAATCGATGTCCTGCTGGCACTGCCGCAGGAAATCATTGTATTGTTCAGGGCGGCCCTTGTTGTTCGTACGTAGATCCCAAATGAGATCTGGGTCTTCTTCATCTAGGATTCTGGACACTCTCTAGTCTATTTCTGCCTCTGCTGCTGTAGAAGCTGCATTGTTGTCACCAGTCAATCTGGTGTAAGCTGCACGGAGAAAGACAGACTAACAACCAGTTACCCTTCCAAAACATTGGACAAACTCTTGCCTCATTGCCCTTGAGTGATACACTGGGAGTGTCTCTTCCAATCCTTTCACAATATTGTGTGCCTAATTGAGTAAATCTGATTCAGATTTCAAGTCACACACTTTCCACAGAAAGTGCAAGTGTTGAATTCCACTTCCAGTATGAGTATACAATATGACCTTGCAATGTGATATGATATCAAAGATGATTGGCCTGCACCAATCAAAACGGGGCTCTGTGGGGTTGACGTGTGCAATGCAGTGCATGGTGCATTTTGTCTGGTTTATTCGAAAAGCCAGACAGCGTGCTGCTGTAAGCGTGATTGGTTAAGAGAAACATGAATAAATTCATAAAAATTGCAACAATGAATAATTCAGTTCACAACATGACACGAACGAAGCTTAGGCACTAGTTGCGGCGTGCGCAGTCACATGTATTGGTTTGGTGCTTAAGCTAGTCTCTCCTATCCCTAGTGCTCGAGGGACTATCCATTTTGATTCTCACGTTGAAAATGTCCCTTCCGCTTTGTAGATTTTTGCATGCTGCGGCTTCTACTCCATGCGGTCTTCGTGTATATTCCGAAAATGTAATATGGTAGATATTTTTGCACACTGCTTCTAATACGAAAATAATAGTTTTTTCCCCTTATTTCTATAGTTTTAGATAAATCAAAAAATTTTAAAAATCCAGGTCACGTACATATCGTGGCTGCTAAACAAGTAATTTTTTATGTGGCCTTATAGTGGCCAACGTGGCGCGTGAATGCCTGTACTCGCCAGCCCACATGTAGCCCAGACACTCGCAATCCAACTGTACGCCGTTGACCACAGATTGACCAAAACCCTGCTGAACCCTGCCGACAGTTTTGTAGGAGATACCCTTCCACACACGTACATCAGAGTTGATCTTTGACCCTCCGCACACATACAACGGAGTTGCCCTTTGACCCTGAACTACCGGATTACAGCAGAGACTACGCGGATTGCAGCAGGAACTACTGGATTACAGCAGAAACTATTACAGGAGTGTAGCAGGAACTACCCAGAATATGGCAGGAAGAACTACTAGTTTACAACAGGAACAACCCAGAATACCACAGAAAAATCTCAAACTACTGAGTGCTATACAGCTGGAGCCACCCTGAACTACCAGAGCAACCAGAAAACTGCAGGAACCATACGTGAACAGCCCAGGACTATAAAACAATAACTATGGACAGGACTAGACTCTACAAACACTTGAATGCAGGGAAAAAAATTGAACTGAACTCGGTTTGTACTTTATTAATCATTGTTCTAATCAAAGACAATTGTGCTCAGTGTTGTTTGATATTGTAGTACAGTGGAACGTCGCAATACCAAACACCTCTATACCGAACATTCGGCTGTACTGCCTCCCAATATTTTGTGCACAAAATCTACCGAACATTATGCAGTTGAAAATCAACTGAGATTCGCCACAGCATGCATCAGAGATCGATCCTGAGCGGTAGCTTCACAAGTTTTAGGATAAACCAAATATCGATCAAATGGTGTGCAAGTCCGAAAGATGGATTCACACATTCCCACACATGTACACGGATCCATCTCCGCAAAATACAAGGGAATTAGGAGAATTTTGTTCGTGTAACTCTGGCCGATCGTTATCATTACCAGAACTGCCAGAATCATCCCAGGAAGACAGTGAAGAACTTTTCCCCTGTTTTGTGTGTACGTTGTTAGTGACTCAACACCAAAAAAAAAAAAAAAAGCGATGGTGCAGTTCACTGTAAAATTGCCGTGTTCTCTCTCTCTCTCCTTTTACATGTATTTTGGTAGCTTGAAATTATTTTCAGGATAGTTTGGATCGTTATAGGGTAAATTTGAGTTTTCTACAGTTAAAAGATAGCGCACAACTGCGTGTTTGCAACCCTCTGAAGACCGAAGCCAAGGTTTGTACATAGTTGTATGTGCTATGTAGCGAACATTCAGGTGAAATTTTCCACCACAACTTTTGGATGGGGTCGTGGCGTCTTAGTGCGTATGGACCAGTGGTATTTATGAGTCGTTCGTGTGGCTTATGTTTATTCAAGACACAGATTGTCTCGATGACAATCTCATGTGATCAGTTCAGTTCATTGGCTCTGCAGCACTTGAGTGCATGCTTCCGTCCGGTGCTCGGGTTCTCGCCCCCATTGACAACACCAGACAGATTGGTAAGAATGTGTACTAGACGCAGAAGAACAGTCAGTCAT